GACGAAATCATAATGAAGGATAAGAAAAATGTTTTCAGGTGATGTTTTCATACCTTTATTTTTTTCTGTCCGAACATATGTGATATCATTTTCGCGTCTCCAAGCCCCTATTAAATGTATTGTACCATCTGGTATGAGGTTAGTGGATCAATATTGATTTAAATATATGCTCAAAATCTTGACATCTTTTTTCAGTTGAATCTATATAGCTAATGCAAAATTCTCACGAGATGCTAACGATTTTCTCACATTGGTCTAATAGCAAGCACTGGTGTTTCAATGGTAGAATGTTCGCACGACACGCGAGCGACCCGGGTTCGATTCCCGGCCGGTGTATTTTTTTCATTTCTTATTCTTGAAGCGCAATTACCACCACACTACATAAATATTTGAATAGTCTTTGGGTTCGATTCCCGGCCGGTGTATTTTTTTCATTTCTTAACTCTTTTTTTTCGAAATAGCTTCTGGCTGTCCTTTTAGTAACTCTTTTTTAGCAGCGGTATATAGTTATTCATCCATGATAAATAGTATGCTATTTTTATCTGTGGGAGTGGGGAAACAATAACATTTATCGATGCAAATTGGTGAAATATTCTCTAAATAGCGTTATGTAACAATATGACAAGAGAATTTTTATGCTTTTTGTGATCAAAGGAAGATGAAAGATAACAAAGTTGTTTTCGAAGTGACGTGCTTGTCTCTGTATTCTTTCCCATCTGAATATCTGCGATGTCGTTTTTTCTCCTGTAACCAAGGTGAAGCTAATTACACCATGCAAGATAAAGATATTGAATCAACATTGTTTTACACACATGCTCTAGATGTTGAAACCTTTTGAGTTGAATTCATATTCCTGAGTGAAAATTCTAACGAGATCGTAGAGATATGCTCACAGGAAACTATTTGCAAGCACTGGTGATTCAATGGTAGAATTCTCGGCTTCCAACCGAGCGATCCGTAAGGTAATTCAACGGTGAGATCATCAAACGAATTGCATTCTTCACTCACACTCTGAGACGAATTGTCTCAATACCTGAATAGAATTTGGGTTCGATTCCCGGCCGGTGCATTTTCTTTTTCATTTGTAAAATCTTTTATCGAGAAATCTTGGCTGGGCTACGTTTAAAAACTCTTTTTTAAACAACAACATATAGTTATTCATCAGTTATAAGTTGTATGCTGTGTATAACATTAGGTTGAGGGCAATAATCATATTCATCAAACTAAATGAAAGAAATTTCCTTCAAATTTTTATAGCTGATTAAACTGTATCGAGTTTTTTCGTTCTTTTCTCGATGAAATCATAATGGAGGTTAAGAAAAATGTTTTCAGGTGATGTATTCATACCTTTATTTTTTCCTGTCCGAACATATGTGACGTCATTTTTGTTTCTTCAAGCACTATCACGTTTATTTCATCATTTAAGACGAAATTATTCCTCGAACGTAAAGTTTAACATAACCTTTAGATCTTTTTTCAGTTGAATTGATATTTGTAACTAAAAATTTAACAAAGTGGTAGAGATATGTTCACAGGAAACTATCAACAAGCACTGGTGGTTCAATGGTAGAATGCTCGTCCTACACACGAGCGATCCGTAAAGTAGTTCGATAGTGACATCATCAAGAGTATCGAATAGTTGATGGAGAATGTGCGCCGAACTACCTCAATATATGGACGGAACCCGGGTTCGATTCCCGGCCGGTGTATGTTTTTGGTAATAATTTATTGAATCTTTTATCCAAAAAGCCAGCTCGACACATGTAGAGTTAATTTCTTATAAGTGACATATCTTCATTGTTGAAAGCAAT